CAGACTAACACAGCTACCTCGGGGAAGCTCCTGGATGGGGCTGGGAGTCCTTGCGGAGGCCACGGCCTGGCAGAGGGGGAGGACGCCAACTTACCCTCCTGCTTCTTCCTCCTTCTGCAACAGAATGAGGCTGGAAGCAGGGGGCAGCCGGAAGAAGGGGGTGGGGCTTCGTCGTGTGCCCCGCCCCCTGCACCTTACCCGGGGGAACTGCGATCCCCCACGATCCCCCCTGAATCGACCTCTGATTCTCTCTCAACTTCTTCACTGTTCTGGGTATGCGCAACGTGGAAAGTAAACAAAGCACCTGTTGCCAGTTAGCGCACTCAGTTCTTTTAGTATTTTACTTAAAAGCCAATACCTCTGTTTTTAGCTACTTTCTTTTGGCCCAAGACTGCCTGGCCTCCACCACTATGACCCACGAGTTTCAATAACCTGGAAGGGTCACAGTGTTCCCTCTAAGCTGAATTAGTGTGAGCTAGCTCACAGTTTTTTAGCCTCCGGCTCACAGATTTTTGTCTTCGCTCAAGAAGGAGGGCTCCAGAGCAAACTAATTTATGCAGTAGCCAAATCGCACACTCACTCACAACTTTAATGCCAGTAGCTCAGAGTAGATTTTTTGCTCACAAGACTCCACAGCTTAGAGGGAGCACCGGGTCACCTTCTGTTGCTACACTCCCCAATTCTCAATTATTATGCCTATTCAAAGTAGACGTCACAACTGCAGACCACGTTTTCTCAGCAATGCTGGGGGACTGCGTTATCTTTTTGCTCTCCTCTGCCTACAAGATGGTTAAATTGGAAGCAGAGCTGGGTGGCCGATTTTACACCCACGAATGGGACACGGGTGCCCAACAACTGGCTACGCAGGGCTTCAACTCTCCCCCTGCACTGAGTGCTGTACAAAAATCAGGACAGCTTAAGTCAGACGTCCGCCCTTGTACGAATCATGCAATAACGTCTGTTGTTAAAACACATCAGTGGCATACATACACAACTTTGCCTGTGCTTCCATACATAAGAACCCATTCTGCTACTTTCCTTCAACCTCCTTGTCCTCGGCATAAATAAAGACACATTGCAAGAGCCAATTAACAGCAGTTATTGATGCTGCTTTGGGACTGAACACACACGGGTGTGAATAACAAAATGTATTTATTTAATATCAACAAGACACTTGTAGGACAGCTTGCTTTCCAGCCACTGGTTCTGCACTCTGTGCACCTAGATATACAGTCAGTTTTTTGTAAGAAGACAGGCGGCAATTTCTATGATTTCTTGTGTTAATGAAATCTATACCCGGATATTTTAATAGCAGAACAAAAAGGCTTTTTACAAGAGGGGGTTAAGGTATGTGTGCTCGTCCAGTAACTCATGGTCCACAAATGGGGAACTAAGTCTCACTTCCAGAGAAGAGTACCACTGCATGGGATTGTGACTTGGGGGAACTCCACTTTCCATGTCTTAATAACATAAGAGACGCCAATGTTGGATCAGGCCAATGGCCCATCCAGTCCAACACTCTGTCACTGTCACACAGTGGCCAGAAATACCAGGTGCCATCAGGAGGTCCACCAGTGGGGCCAGGACATTAGAAGCCCTCCCACTGTTGACCCCCCCCCAAGCACCAAGATGACAGAGCATCACTTGCCCCAGAGCCCCTATCTATACCTTGTGGCTAATATCCACTGATGGACCTCTGCTCCATATGCTTATCTAATTCCCTTTTGAAGCCGTCCATGCTTGTAGCCTCCACCACTTCCTGTGGCAGTGAATTCCAAGTGTTAATCACTCTTTGGGTGAAGAAACATGTCACCTCCCAGGCGTCGTTACTCCAAGCTAAAGAGCCCTAAGTGCTTTAACCTTTCCTCATAGGGAAAGTGTTCCAACCCTTTTATCATTCAAGTTGCCCTTTTCTGCACTTTTTCCAAAGCTATAATATCCCTTTTAAGGGGTGGTGACCAGAACTGCACACAGTATTCCAAATGAATACTGTTTTCCATTGTTAAACCAAGCTATACTAATACTGAAGACCCATAACCCCATCAGGATTTATGGAATATATACTAAGGCTGTGGGTCCCAAGTACTTCATGCTGAAGATGATTTAGGCTGGCAAGTTGTCATACAGGAAAGGGAGCAAGATGGGTAGCTGTGTTGGGCTGTAGCAGGAGAAAAGAGTAAGAGTCCAGTAGGACCTTAAAGACTAACAAAATCTGTGGCAGGCAATGAGCTTTTGTGAGTCACTGTATCTGAAGAAGTATACAGGAAAGGGATGGAAGTTCCCTCTTAAGATAACTGTGAACTACCTACAGTTGTTCCTTGGGACGATCTATAGGTTGGATCCTGTATTTCTGGTTGCTTTCTGTATTTTTGGATTATATTATTCTGTACCATAGGGACTATCAAACCTTTTTGCTTAGGACCCATTGGTCTGTGAGCATATAGAATATGGAGGGGGGAAATAATAGGTTGGATTCTGTGCTCTGCCAGCGTAAGGCAACGGCAGACTCAGATTTCTCAAGAACAGCTGTGCCAGAACTATGGTTTGCCCGAGGTCATCCAGCAGGTGCAAGTGGAGGAGTGGGGAATCAAACCAGGTTCTCTCAGATTAGAGTCCGCGTACTTAACCACTACACCAAAAGCAGTATCAGGAGTCAGAAGATCCACATGGACAAAAAGCCATGCTACTCTGGTGGCGGCTACAGTGAGGAGGCAGAAGCAGATGAAGCCACACCTCCCACCTCTTCCACCTGCAGACCTCTTGTTGACACAAAAAGTTCCACTGGCGTAACAGGTAGAGAGAGGGACATTTTAGCTCAATTCCCTCCTTCCTTGCTACAGGTGCCTGCACTGGATGTCTGTGGGCACCCTGACACATGCCAGTGCCTTTTCAGGGTTCATACAGGACTTCTGGAGAAAGCAGGAAAGATCAGCACCTTACACATTCCAACCCTTTACCTATACTTGAAACGGAAGGCATTACAACAACAACAAAGACCCTAACAAACATACTGGGGCTGGATAGAAATCCTTTTGGTAAGCAAGGACTTCCTTGTAACGGGGACCCTCTGGGTTAGCAGAAGGGAGTCTCTGGATCTAACCCAATGTATTTAACCCTTTAATGCTGAACAGATGCAAGAGATGCAAGAGGCAACCTTTGAAACTTACTACAAATTCTGTTCCCTCACCAAACTCCAAAAGCCCTGTGAAACTGCACTCTTGTCTTGGTAGTTTTTGCGTGTATATCTATATCAGCAACAGGGTAGAGATACAATGCAGAGAAGATGGTAGGAACTGAACAGGGGGGAGAGGAAGTTTAGAAAGGGATGCGATTTCATAAAGTTTGAGAAATGTTGTAAAAAAAACACTCTTGATACAAATATTCACGCCTAGATCACAGCACTAAACCAAACAACATCCAACTGTTCCAAACACCACATTGTTCACAAAAAACAGAACAAGACATTTACCTTTCTTTGCTTTCTTTTGTAGTTTCAGGGTGTCTGAGGATTTCTTTTTTATCTCCTGGCGGGCTTTTTTGTACTCTAAAAGAGAGGCACAGTTTGTGTATTGATATAATTGATATTTACGTTACTGGATGCTTTATAAAAGGCAGTTTATTTTAGGAGAACAGAACATAAGGCAGACCAGCAGTGTGAAGAAAAAGCATTCTTTAATTCAAGTTAAGAAACAAAATACAAAGCGAAAATTTCCAGCCCAAACATAGCCTATAAGACCTCAAAACTGAGCGGGGGGTGGGGGCGGCAATTCTATACAATCGGTGTAAACCGAAGTCCTGACCAAGCAAACCAGATACAAACCCACACCTTCACTCCATTGTGATGTTCATCGGAAAATTAAGTTAAAGATTGAGCCCCAACTGAAGTGATTAGCCTTATGCTTGTAAACATTTATATTACATATATTTGAAATCTGTGAATAAAAAAATTCACAGATATCAAATGCATAACAGAGCCTGCTACATAACAATACGCAGTTATCATATCTAATAGGACTAATCCTACAAAGAAAAGTGAATCCAGACTAAAGTAAGAACAGAAAGGAAGTTCACTAAGGCTTCCTTTTTGTTGAATTAATGAATTCTTTATTACAGTCAAAGACCAGCTCTAAAGTAAATACATTCCCCACGTTAAATAAAAAACCAGTTACATAAATTACATTACAATGAGTAAATATAACCCATGAGACTAATACAGAACTATGACAGGTTTTAGCAGCTGCACAGGATATGGCCACTTTAAAATGAATCTAAACCAGTTACGAAAAATGAAAGCCATTATTTCTTCACAGTGCCTTAGAGTAAGGTAATCTGAATGTATCATGGATATATAAAGTTCCAAACACATGCAAAAAAGTGAGCATTTATTGGAATAACCAAGAATGATTAGGCTGACAGTATCAGGCTACAACTGCAGCATTTGTGGGTTTTTAAAGACTCAGGTTCATTTTATCCCATTTGGCCTTATGGGAAACCTCTAAGTCATGTGATGAATATGAATGGGATCAATACAGGATCAAACAGATTACAACTAATGAAAATTTCCACTGTCCGAAATTTTTGGTTGTACCGGCATCTTGCCACATGAGGACGAATTTAACCAAACAGTCTCCACAGACCAATGGGGAGGGGGGAGGAGTGAAAAATAAAATCTACAGCTGTGGCTGGCAAGTTCTGTATAAAATTAGCATGCCACCTCAATATATTAGATGTGGCGGCTTCTAGGTGGTGGAAAAGGAATGCAAATATTATTATTGGCACATATATCCAAAAGCGAGAAGTTAGGTTACAAGTGTAAGGCATTATTGCTTCTCCGGGCCTAAGCAATGGAATGCAGACTGCACTGGAATGATCTGTCTGGGGGCCAGTCTGAGAATCAGATTTAGGGGGAATTTGAAGGACTGCCCTCCTTCCTCACATCCCTCTGTGCCGACTACGGTCCTCAGGCAGTCATCTGTTGGCTCTCCCACCACTTAGGGTGGCCCGTCGGGCATCGACTACAGCCCAGGATTTTCCATTATGGCTCTGGTTCTACAGAATGGGCTCCCTGATAGAGGTGAGGGGGGCCCTCTCCTTGGAAATCTTCAGAAAACGCTGCAAGACCTGCCTGTTTGCCAGGGCTTTTGAGGGAGTTGGAAGGCCTCTTTTGAGGGAGGGGGGATGGAATTGGGGTTTGTTATTTTATTTTTGGTTTTGAAGATGTTTTTGGCTATTATTTATTTTTAAAAAAATATATTTTATTTTAAGAAGAAATAAGGGGTACAGAAAAAAGAACAGAAATGGGGAGTTGAGAAAGATTTCCAATATTTACAGTTATCAAGGACTTTCAAGGGTATAGATAATGTATGATATATAAAGCATATGTGTCAATTATAAACATATTCAAGAATATTCAAGAATATTTCCATTCCCTACTTTTTTCCTAGTCTTATCACGGTAGCTACAAGAAGAATAGGGAGAGAAGGAAATGGAATAAAGTAGAAAATATTCAGTTCTATTTCCATGCACTATACCCCCTTGTTTATTTAAAAGACTGCATTAAATCAAAACTAGCGATTCTATGTTTTCAGCTACTTTGAACCATGAGAAAAGGCGGGATATAAATGTTTCAATAAATAAAAAAATGTCTACGGTACCTTTAAACCAAAGCCTGTTATCCCAAACAAAAACAAAGTAACTGAATTTGTTCACATTCACATTAACACATGAAGCTGCTTCCAGACGGAGTCAGATTGTCAGTTTATCAAAGTCAGTATTGACCAGTCTGGTTGGCAGCAGCTCTCCAGGGTCTCAGGCAGAGGTCTTTTGCATCACCTTCTATCTAAGCCTTCTTAAATGGGGATACCAAGGATTGAACCTGGGGCCTTCAACATGCAAAGCAGACTGTCTGAACTACAATCACTCCTCATCTGCCCTTTTACCCTCCTGTTCCTCCATCTGTAATATCCCTATTAAGGGCTCTTTTTGTAGAAAAAGCCCAGCAGGAACTCATTAGCATAATAGGCCACATCCAACAGCAGGAACTCATTAGCATATTGGGCCACACCTCTGACAGCACAGCTCATTACCACATTTGGCCGCACCCCCATGTTACCAGAAGTATGGTTATCCAGCCACACCCACTTTTTGCTTGTTATTCTGTTTACCTTGTTTGTTGTCAAAACCCAGGGCTTTTCTTGTAGCAGGAACTCCTTTGCATGTTAGGCCACACACCCCTAATGTAGCCAATCCTAATGAGTACCTGCTGTTGGATGTGGCCTATTATGCTAATGAGTTCCTGCTGGGCGTGGCCAACTTGGGAGCCAGCTGGAACTCCGTTCCTGTGCGTTCCTGCCCAAAAATAGCCCTGCCTATGGTCAAATTTTAGCTGGCAAACTCCTGGGGCCAGAGAAGTATCTTTATTTAACCCTGTAAAGTAATAGCATTTTGTGAAAGAACCTGTGCTGACTTGGCTGGGAGCCACCGAGGCGATAAGCTAGAAGCTGAAGACACAAGCCGGAATCAAGGTCAGTGAGAAAGCTGAAGGTCTGATAGCCGTGAAGTCGCTTCAAGAATGCAGGTTTCCAGAGGCAAGGAGCGACTGCTGCACACTCAGAAGCAGGTCTGATTTTGCAGAGTTGTTGCCACGCTGGAGCAGGTGCACCAAGGGGTTTTAAACAGATCCTCCCTCCCTTTGGAGCTGAGTCTGCAGAGGCTTACAACTCCTCTCGTTGATGCTGCTGGAGCTGCAGCCTGGCACTTCTTCTTCGTTTCTGCAAAGTCAGCCTCTTCCGTGCCCTGCGTCTGGGGCACTCGGGGGAACTAGGCCTTGGGGAGTCTGGCCTTGGGGTGTCTGCAGCTGGGGTTGCTGGCCCCGGCTTAGGAATGGCCTCTCCTTCTGGCAGCACCTCATGTGCAGCTGCTGGGGACTCTTCCTCCTCAGGTACTGCTAAGGGTTCTTCCTCTGGGCTGTCTCTAGAGGAGGCCGAGTTGTTCCCTGCCTCTTCCTCATCTGAGGAGGGGTCAGCCTCAGCCGGACCCGGACCTATGACAGAACCTTAATCATAGCACTGTCCATAAAGTAGTGATCAACTAGCCACTATAACAGCAAAGCCAAGCAAGGTACAACATATGAACCAGCCCTCCAGCTACCCATCAGACTTAACAGCCAGGATACTCATGTGGTACCTTAACATATTTTTATTCTAACATAAGCTTCTATGCAGTAGAGCACCCACTCCAACACGTGCATACAGAACCTCAATTTCATGGCAGCTTAAAGCTGGCAGAAATATCTGCAAGTCTTTTAAGGTGACACAACAATCCCCTTTTCTTCTGAAACAGATGAACACCACAACTCCTCTGGAATTTGTTTTCCTGAAAGACTGAAAGCACAAGTGGCATGGGATTGACACATGAAGCTACTTCCGTGTGCAGAATGTTTTGAATGCCTCCCTTAGGGGTGGTAGGACTCCACAAGGAAAGCAATGAAGAGTTACCTTGTTGGGTCAGACCAAACAATCACTCAGGTCCAGCATTCCGTGCCAGCCAGATGTCCTCTGTCCACTCCCAGTTTGCCCCCCAGAACAGGACAATCTGAGACACACCAAACTTGAAAGTGGAGGTGGCATCAGGATTCAGGTTTAACTAAGACTTGCAACCAAGTCCACTCCCAGTTTGCCCCCCAGAACAGAACAATCTGAGACCAGACTTGAAAGTGGAGGTGGCATCTTTTAGTCTTTAGGGCCCCTACCTGGTGGAACGAGCTCCCAGAGGAGATCAGGGTCCTGCGGGACCTCATGCAGTTCCGCAGGGCCTGCAAGACGGAGCTCTTCCACCAGGCTTTTACATAGGGGCCGCCACTACCGCCACTACCACCATCATGTGGTTAATAACGGGACGGAAGGACGGTCACGGAAGACCTGACAAAATACTACACGGCACTGGTACCACCGGACTATGTACCAACTATAGTTGGACTATGTACCAACTATAGGCAATACCACCTTTAATAGCAGCCTGATATTCCCTTGCAAACTATGGAGACCATCCTGTTCTTATTGAGCACTTTATTCTTTGTTGATTTAAATGGTATTACTGTTTTATTCTGTTTTACTGTGTTTTTATGTGTGAGCACTAGTGCTCCCTTGTAAGCCGCCCTGAGCCCGCTTGCGGGGAGGGAGGGGTATAAATATAAATATAAATAAATAAATAAGTCCTTCTAAAGGGCCATCTGAGAGAGGGCTGATGGAGATACAATACGGTGTCCCTGTTACCGAGGTTAAGGAAATAAGAAGTCAGCTACAAGACTGCATGCCTTCCTAGCAGTCCCCTTTGTCCCAAGGAAGAACAGCCCCGTATCCATGCATTATCTGATGTTAAGGGTTACATTGAGGTAGATATCTGACACTATTGGTGTCAACCAGGATTCAGGTTTAACTAAGACTTGCAACCAACATGAAACTGGTTTTAAATCCTAGCCAAGCAGGAACCGTAGTTAGCCTTAACCACATATAACAATCATGCCAACAGGGCTATTTTTGGGCAGGAACGCACCGGAACGGAGTTCCGGCTGGCTCCCAAGTTGGCCACGCCCAGCAGGAACTCATTAGCATAATAGGCCACACCCAACAGCAGAAACTCATTCGGATTGGCTACATTAGGGGTGTGTGGCCTAACATGCAAAGGAGTTCCTGCTACAAAAAAGCCCTGGGTTTTGACAACAAACAAGGTAAACAGAATAACAAGCAAAAGGTGGGTGTGGCTGAATGACCACACTTCTGGTAACATGGGGGTGCGGCCTAATGTGTTAATGAGCTGATGCGTGCAGAAGGGCCCACGTTCAATCCCTGATATCAGCTATCAAAAAGATCTGGTAGTAGGTGATGGGAAAGACCTCTGCTCAAGACTCTGAAGAGGCACCAGCAGTCACCAGCTAACAATACTGACCTTGACAGACCAAGAGTTTGACTCGGTCTAAAACGGCTTCATCTGTCTCTTAAGATGAAGCTCTCAGTAACTCTTGCAAGTTGATTAATTAGTTCCTTGGGTACAGAACATAAAAAGAAAACGAGCCAGCTAGGGAAGAAACTCTTTTTAAAAATGTATTTTTTCAGTAGTGATAAATCACACACACACCATCTTGTATGAGTACCTTTTGCATGGTCTTTATCCAGTTGATTAACTGCTTTCTTCCACTCTTCCATCTGCTCTTGAAGTGGGTTTATCAGGCAGTCGATTAAAGCACTAATTTTGTTGGGGAAATACCAAGAGGAATCAAAGCCCGGGAGGAAAAGTAAAATCAATCTCTCTCTCCACCCTGTGCCTCTGAGCTATTACAAAACTCTCCCAAAGCACTTAAATAATAATACAAAATATTTTTATTGTTAATAAAATTGCTTCATACAACGGTCTGCTTCATTTACATTATTATCTCAATAATCCTGACAAAGGTGAGCGTGAATTACAACAGACTTCATACTGCACATCAGGGTGGGGACACAGGGTTGTCAACCTCCAGGGGGCACCTGGAGATCTCCCACTATTAATCTACAGACAACCAAGATCAGTTCCCCTGGAGAAAATGGCTGCTTTGGAAGGTGGACGCCATGGCATTGTAACCTGCTGAGGTCCTTCCCCCACAAACCCCGCCCTCCCCAGGCTCCGCCCCCCAAATCTCCAGGTATTTCACAATCCAGAGCTGGCAACCTTATGGGGACAACCACTGTGATGGTTATGGTCTACAGCAAGGACTGAGAAGGGTCAGGTTCCAACACCCACTCAGGCATGAAGCTTACTGAGCACATTTGGGCCAGGCACACATTCACATCCTAACCCTACCTTACAAGGTTGTTGTGAGGATAAAATTGGAGGAGGGGAGAATCCATGTATACCACCCTGAGCGGAGGTGGGATGGGGGATAAAATTGTGAGAGAACAGGAAGGGAATCTGAGGTGGAGAGTGCATACTGCCAAAGACCAACTAGAAACAGTGGCATAGCCAGTAAGAGTCCATTAGCACCTTAAATTCCATTCTTGGCCTCCCCTGCTGGCAGCCTAGCCTAGTGGTTAGTGGCGTGATACCCCCACAACACCACTCAGGTTTCCATCTGAGCGCCGCTACTGAGGCAACTCTCACTCTGGTTTGTGTATGAAACCTGAACGTTTAAAACCTTAATTGTTTTAATTTTATATACTGTTTCTCTGTCACGATATTATTATTATTATTATTAGTAGTAGTAGTAGTAGTAGTAGTAGTAGTAGTAGTAGTAGTAGTAGTAGTAGTAGTAGTAGTACCCTGTTTTCCCGAAAATAAGACCTACCCCAAAAATAAGCCCTAGCAGCATTTCTATGCATTTGTGGTATAAACCCTAGTGTGTCTTCTTGAGAAAAAATAAATATAAGACAGTGTCTTATTTTCGGGGAAACACGGTAGTAGTATCTATTAGACTTATTAATTGACCCATCCCAACTTCAGCCGAGCTCTGGGAGATTTACAATATGGCGTTAAGCCTTAGATACAATATAAAAACATCAGATATCACAACATTAATGACATTAAACCAGTTTAAAAACAAATTCAAATTTAAGATGGCGTCAGTAGCAACTGAAGGGGGGTTTTTTTTGGGGGAAGGGTGCCAGCCATGTTGGAAAACCGTCGCTGTCCTTATGTGACCTTGTAAACTGCCCTAAGCCCGTTTGTGGGGAGGGCGGGATATAAACCAAAGGAATGAAATAAATAACAGAGACTAACAAAATTTGTGGTAGGGTATGAGCTTTTGTGCTCACTTCTTCAGATACAGCACTTCGAATATAGAGCCAGATTTGACTTGAGACCCCGCTCCACCTCTCAGACAGTCTGCTTCTGTAGCTCTCACGTCTCCGTGAACATTTTATACAAAGCATGGTAGACAAGTAGTCTAAATCAGTAAAGAGCTCTCAAAATCACTCTAGCGCTAGGAGATTCAGATGCAGGCCCGGTAGAATGTTTGCTTTCGTAACAACGGCTCAGCTTCTCAATACTGGACTCCCTGCCCTCTGGCACGGTCTGTTCACTGCTGAGCGACAGTAACCCCAAGGGTAGGAATTCCTGGTGCGTAGAAAAGGGCTTGAGCCAGCAAGTCCAGCTTCTCAGAGCGGGCAGCTAAATCTTCCCTTTCTACAAAGCCCGGTTGTTAGGGGAGAAAAAGGAAAGGGTGTTCCCGGGGACGGAAAGTCAGAGGTTAGCTGGAAGCCGGCCCCAGCAAACTACTTAATGTGCTTCTGAATGGAAGGGGTCGTGTAGCAATTACATCTTGACAGCAGTCCAGCGGCTAATGAAGAGCCAATTTCAAACTCCCGCCAAGCCCAGAGCACGACGCTCTCATCACTCACCTTGAAAACTGCCTGAGTTTGGACTCGATGCTCCGATGCCGCATGCACATTCTGGTCAGGGCGGAGCCAATTTCTCGAGTAGCACCTGAGGAAAAAGAAGATGGATTTGTAAAACTTGTACCACAAAACTGCTTTTCTGTTTTTAAAAGAGGAGTCTGAGGAAAATATCAAAGATTTTTTTTAATTAAGAGAATTCAGTGTGAGGGGATGATCAGGATTGGGGGAAACGTGGGTTCAAGTCACTGTGCAATCCATGGAACTCACTGGATGACCTTGAAGTACTCATACTCTCTCACTCTAGCTTACCTCAGAGGATTGTTGAGGAGAAAATAATGGGATAACCCCCTCCACGTACACTACCCGTGTCCGCCTTGGAAGAAGGACAGGATACGAATGTGATTTGGACTGATTAAACATGAGGAAGAGAGGTCCATCAGTGGCTATAGCCACAAAGTATAAATGAAACACTATGTCTAGGGCAGTGATGCTCTATATTCTTGGTGCTTGGGGGCAAACAGTGGGAGGGGCGTCTGGAGTTCTTCTGACCCCGCTGGTGGACCTCCTGATGGCACTTGGGTTTTGGCCACTGTGTGACACAGAGTGTTGGACTGGATGGGCCACTGGCCTGATCCAACATGGCCTCTCTTACATTCTTAATGTGAGGCACTCTTTTAGGGTCCATAGCACCCCTTACTCATTATATCCAATGCCATGAAGCCATGTATAAGGGCTGTCACACTATACTTTTATCAAGCCACTCCTTCCAAGGAGCTCAGGACAGCATCTATGGCTCTCCTTTCCTCCACGTTACCCTCATGATACCCGTGAGGTAAGTCAGACAGAGTGAGAGTGACGGTTTCACGGTCACCCAGGGAACTTCACGGGTGAGTGAGTTGCTGTCCAGTACGCTAACCTCTATACTGAAGTGGCACTCCGGATAAGAAACTGATATCCTTAGCATGGAAATGGGGCCTACTCAGGGTCAAACGGATCCTCACGGCCACTGCTACTGCCATTCTCATTTAAAAATAGTGCGAGGGCCCAAAGTGTGGCATTCATCCTCTCCCCATGTTTTTTCAAGTGTCAAAAGTGGGGGGTTTCGCCACTTGATTAGGGGCATGCGGGGGACGGACGGACACAGGACAACAAGAGTGCCTCAGACTGCTGCACTGTGGACCTGATCGGGACTGGGGCCCTTGCAGCATTTTTAGATGACTTTAAAACTGCAGTGGAATCTTCATGGCAGCCACGAGGATGACATCACATCTCGTCTGGCTCTCAGCAATGGCTGCTACAGCACACCATGGAAACACCCAACGGAGATCTAACTGAAGGTCTATAAGACGTGGGAACTGACAGCTGTGTGCCAAATTTGGTGGAAAAAATTATAGGTCAGCCCCTGGACATTAGCTAAGCAAGGAACTCGGTCTCAACCAATGCTCCCTCTAAGCTGTGGAGTCTTGTGAGCAAAAATTCTACTTTGCGAGCTACTGACATTAAAGTTGTGAGCGAGCGATTTGGCTACTACATAAATTAGTTTGCTCTGGAGCCTTCCTTCCTGAGCGAAGACAAAAATGTGTGAGCCAGACACTAAAAAAACTGTGAACTAGCTCACACTAACTCAGCTTAGAGGGAACACTGGTCTCAATGTATTTGAGTTCTATACAAAGGAGGAGGAGGAGAACCTATGCAGCAATAAATGACAGCCTAAATAAAAGAACAAAGTTCGAGTCCAGTGGCACCTTTAAGATCAACAAAGTTTTATTCAAGGTATAAGCTTTTGTGTACATGCACATTTCTTCAGGTACACACGAAAGCAGATACACACCTTGAATAAAACATTGTTCTTAAAGGTGCCACTGGACTCAAACTTTGTTCCGCTGCTACAGACCAACACGACTACCCAGTTTAAATAAGAAAACACTTAAGTAATTGATTCCTGCAATCTAATTCTGTCATTGCAGAGTCTTCCTCTGTGCAATTATTAGCATAACAGAACTGCAAGAACCACCCCAGACAAGAGTTTCTCCAGTGACTCAATGGAACAGCCTGGCACAAAAGAAAAAAGTCCTCATCACTTAAAAACTGAAGAGATGTAACCAGGCAGGTGCATCCAAGGAAACACATTCCACAATTGCAGCACCACAACAAAGTATATTTTGCATATCCAAGGACTGATAAAGGTGCAAAACCCATAAGCAAGGACTACTGAGCAGATCTTAATATCCCACAAATATTCCATATGGAAAGAGACATTCCAATAAACCTGAAAGAGCTCCATTACAATACTACCAGTGGGGCGAAAAAAAGTATTTGAACATAGTAAAAGTAAAGGTAAAGGTTTCCCTTGCTCGAAAGCCAGTCGAATCCGACTCTAGGGTTGTGGTGCTCATCTCCGTTTCCAAGCCGAAGAGCCAGCGCTGTCCGAAGACATTTCCGTGGTAATGTGGCCGGCATGACTAAACACCAAGGCGCACAGAACGCTGTTTCCTTCCCACTGAAGTGGTACCTAGTTATCTCCTTGCAATTTCTTGCTTTCGAACTGCTAGGTTGGCAGGAGCTGGAACTAGAGACGGGAGCTCACTCCGTCAGGCGGCACACTCAGGTCTCGAACTGCTGAACTATCGACCTTCCACAGCCTGCAGTTCAGCATCTTAACCACTTGAGCCACTGCAGTTCCTTGATTACATAACCTACTGCTTACTCGTAAAGAACTTGCACTGCCATGAACTGAGAGCAGTAACTGGATTTTGCAAGTACACAAAAGTTCTTTGTCCGCATACAAACGTGTTTAATTTTTAAAAAAATGTCCACCACTTGCCCACGCTAATAATTTGTGGCATACGTACAGCTTCAAAAAACGCAACTATCAACTCTGTCAGTTTATAATGGTTTTCCCATCTGATGGGGATTGTTACTCACCAACAACCACCCACAAATGACAACATGCCAGCTTGCTATATTAATGAGAAAGGAAAAACACAGCACATGTTTATTCTCCCAGGCTTTTAGGTAATTGCTTCTCTTGTTTTATCAGATTTATTCCACTTTATGCTCTGTTGGCTGATAGAGCCCAGGATGATGTACGTCTTTTAGGATGTCTGACTGCTGTTTAAGGACACGTTTTAGACCTTACTGCCACTTGTATAGCTTTATCTTGCTTAATTTTATGTTATTTATTTATATTTATTTATAGTTTCGACTTGCTATACCACCCTAACCCCGAAGGGTCTCTGGGCGGTTTACATGTAATGAGTTCTAAGAACGCTTAATCCCTAACCAAGGCCACATGAGATGGGGGCGGGGATGCCTACTGGCACCCAGGTGGTGGACCTGTTGTTGCTTCTGGCTTGGCTTCTTTCTCAGGCAGTCTCTGGCGTTTCAGGACGACTTTTTCATTGGCGGGACCATTCAGGCGCATGGCCCATGTCCGCTTCGGCCTCGGCTCTGTCCGTTAGGCTCCGCCACGCCTCGCGTTGCACGTCATCGCACGCCTCCTGGCCTCCGCCGTCGTCAGCCGCACACTGTTCTGCTGGCCACCAGGGATTGCTCCGCTGCATCGCCATTCCACTTCGTCGCCACCGCCGATGTTATGACTTTTCCTAGTATTATTGCCTTTGCCAGGTTGAGGACAATTCATAGCTGCACATCTAGGCAAAGCGGGCAAGATTTTTTCCCAGAGCCACTGCTTGCATCCAATCACACAGTTGATCAGGGTGGATGGGGTAGAGAAAAGCCCCAGATTCTCCTCTGCTACAAGATCAGCCCACAAGGCACCTTGCATCTTACAAGTCTTGAGACATACCTAAGGAGCTTGAAGTCTGAAAATGAGACTGCACACACCACTTAACACCACCAGTAGATGGTGCTGTTTATAAAGACCAAGATTTGAGAACTGCCTATGTCTGGAACACACTTCAGAAGATCCATCAGTTCCAGCACAGAGAAAGTCAAGACACCTCGGGGTAAACAGGACAGCCACCCCTTACTGGGGGGCTCAAGACCTGTTAACAAGAGGTATACTGCATTTGAATATGGAGGTTTCATCCAAGCTATCAGAGCTGGCATTGTTCCCTCTGAGCTGAGTTAGTGTGAGCAAGCTCACAGTTTTTTAGCCTCCGCCTCACACATTTTTGTCTCAGCTCAGGAAGGAGGGCTCCAGAGCAAACGAATTGATGCAGTAGCCAAATCGCTCGCTTACAACTTTAATGCCAGTAGCTCACAAAGTAGAATTTTTGTTCACAAGACTCCACAGCTTAGAGGGAGCGTTGGCTGGCAGGTAGGCCTACCGTCTGTGAATTTGCCTAATCTAATTTTAAAGCCATCTCTGCTAGGACCCATCTCAGCGTCTTTTAGTGATGCTTCCTGCAATCGTCGCGTGGAGCTAAACTGCCTTTTTTGTCTTGAGCATCCATTTCGCTGGATGACCTCTGGAAATCCAACTCATACCAATACCCATTTATTTATTTCCTTACGCCAGGTACTTTAAATAACTTGAAAAAACTAGCCGTCTTCCAGAAGCATTCGCAAAACAGTTCTACAAATGCTGAAGTTTAAAAAAAGAGAGAAGGAGAGAGGGAAGAGGGAGAAAAGCAGTTGGAAAATAAAACACAACAGTTCTTCAGTAGGGGGAATTCCGTCAATTCATGAAGGGAATTCCTGGTCTGTCTGACGCCCCAAATGCCTGTTGAATTCAAGGAAGTTTCAAGAACAGCTGAGAGTGACGCAGTGGCGTGTGTGTTTGCGTTTCCCAACAAGGCTAAGGAAATCAGCCTTGTGTGGAATATGCACTTGTTTGTCTCTGGATCCCAGACTTATCAACTTGTTTTACAATTAGAGGGTCTATCTACACACAGCCCAGAAGTGAAAGCCAGACAGACAAGCCAGAGCTTCGAGCAGACACCTCTGCTGTAATATAAGCTTTAATGGGATCCAGAGTGGAAACATGTAGGCGCCTGTTCTGAGTAGGCCTCCACCGCATTACCAGGAAAACAGGAGATGGACAGACCACACAAGTGGGGCCTACCTCAGCAGACGCCTTAGGGCTCTTTTTGTAGCAGGAACTCCTTTGCATATTAGGTGACA